GAACCTGGTGGGTTGTATTCTGATAGCCAGATTGCGAAGGCAAGGGATAGTTTTAATCCCAGTGAGACTCTTGCTTTCGTGAAGCAATTGGCGATTGCTCCACATGATGGTGGCCGCGGGAGCATTGGATTCGCTAACAATAAGGCCACCCTTTCGGCTTACCGGAAGGCGGTATTTGAGCAGTTTGATGAAACTTATGCCCAGGCTTTTGGGGTGCAGTCTGTGCGCTCCACTCATCCTCGTATCAATCCACTTGATCAGTCTGGGACAGTGAGGCACACTCCTAGAGGTATATATATACATATATAGTGCTCCCTTCTCAGGTTTATTTGTTATTGGAGACACATTGTATTTCACTGTTTTTTTTTTTCCTTCTATCTATTGTTTGTGTCATTGTTGACAATGGATTTAATGACCAAATCTTTCTAGATCTTTACGGTTTTGGAATAAAGCAATCGAGCTGTTAGGAATATACAAGTCTTGTGACTTGCATACTCTTAGATGTTTAAGCATTAAATTCTGTAGTGAAAATATGAGTGTTCGGACCTTCTTTATTGCGTAAAATTGTTCTGATTAATTATCTTCTGGTTGTTGTTGTTCTGGAGATTGTCTGTCAACTTTCTTCAATTATAGAGGGTTGAATAGTTCTGATGTCTGTGTTTGGTAGCTGAAATGTTTGTTATTTGTGTTTGAATCTCTAACTAACTTCAGGTTGAAAGAGAGAGAAATAGATGGAAGAGATGCTCAAAACTGTGTGCATGGACTACACAACGAAGTCCATTTTATGTATGTTGATTCAATAAATACAAATATAATAATAGGAGTTGTTATTCTATATCCATGTATGGTGTGGCTATAAATCATATCGTTAATGATCTGATTCTAATTAGGTTTCTTAAAACTATAGAGATCCTGATTAAATAAGGAAACAAGTCATAAAACATAACAGAAGAATAAATCTTAAGATCATCTAAGATACTCTAAATTATTCTGGGATAAGATCTTATATTTCTCATGTTCCTAACCTCCTTCAACTAAGATTACCAAGTTTTGCTTCTTACAATAAATAATTTACTTCCCCACAAATTTAAAAGTAAGAAGCATAAATTGACCATTATCAGCCTTTTAATTTGAACATTAGTTTAATTTTACATTATGAACTCTTGTAGTTTATCCCCTCACGTATGTAAGGATGCTAATTTATGTTAAGTGAGCATGACCTTATTCAAAGCCACTTCGATGTTAATCCTACCTTTTTCTGTTTTTTACTTCTTTTCAGCTCCCTTGAGTGGTCCACTGGTGATTGCAGAAACCTTGGGCAGTGGGAAGAGCCCTACCAAATCTCTTAAAGTCAAGGAGGCTTCAAAGAAGGATAGATACCTTCTTAAACGGAGAAATGATCCAAATAACTCTGTTCAATTAGCATACGAGGAGGATAATTCCGATGCCACAAATAGTTATGTATTTCAGAAGAGGGCTCCAGTTGTGCCTGTGACACCTAAATTGGAAATACCAGCAGACACAGGATTTGTTTGTTATGACGGTGCTGCTTCAATTTCAGATGCCAAAGAACATTTAAAAGGTCGTGTTCAAGCAGATGGCTCTGCACATTCTTCTGCCATTTCTGCAGACATAAAGCCTCTTCATGACAAGGGAAAGGAATCTTTTGAAGAAATGACCCACAACTTTGAACATGATAATGCTTTTAGTAAAATTATGGTCCGGTCTGACTTGTCTAGGGAGTTGGCCACGGTTGATGAGATGTCTCAACTATCACATCCGGAGAACGAAGTTTCTGTTGATGTTAAATATGAAGGGAATACAAAATTGTCCGGACCATGTGATGATTTTAACCAAGTAGTGCTGGGACCCCAGACTGTTGCTGGTGGAGTAAATGAAATGCATCAGATTAAGAGTGAAAATAATGTATATGGTTCACCATTTGAAGCAAAGCTTAAGGTGAACAAGATAAAAGTTCACAAGAGATCTGCAGCTGAGTTGAACTCTGAGACTTCTGCTGTTGGAGAGAGAAAGAATAAAAAGAAAAAGAACTTGAATTTAAGACCTGCAGCTCAATTGAACTCTGAGATTTCTGCTGTAGGAGAGAGAAAGAAGAAAAAGAAAAAGGACTTGAATTTACAACCTACATTAGGCTTTCCAGAGAAGCATTCTACATTTGGGGAATCAGTTTCTGTAAAATCAACAGGAAAAGCTGTTTCAATTGATCTGGCTCCAGGAGAGAATTCTCCTTCAGAAGAAGTGGTGGCGGATGCTAATACCCGGAATTTGCTGCCCGTGGATACCATTGGAAATGCTAATGTGGAATTGCCACAACTTTTGGGTGATCTGCAGGCCCTTGCTTTGAACCCTTTTCATGGCATTGAAAGAAAGATCCCTGGGGCTGTTCAGCTATTCTTTCTGCGTTTCAGGTCTCTTGTTTACCAGAAAAGCTTGTCTGAAAATGAAGCTCCTGAAGTTCGCCTCACTAAATCTCCTTCCAGTCTCAGGACATCTGGCAATCCTGATGAGTTTGTCAAAGTTTCTCAGATTGTAAAACCTGTGAAACATATTGTTCGGCCTGATGATCCTACAAAAGCTGGGCGGAAAAGGGCCTCTTCTGATAGGCAAGATGAAATTGCTGCCAAGAGGTTGAAGAAAATCAAGGATTTAAAGGCTCTAGCTTCAGAAAAAGCAGTGAGCAGTCATAAAACTTCTGAAGCCCGGCGAGAAGATGGCATGGAAACCTTTTCCCAGGGTCCATCCAAGTTGGTGAAACTAGACACAATGAAGAAAGTGAACTCTCCAGCTAAGGCAGTTGAGCCCACAATGTTGATGATCAAATTTCCTCCTGATACAACTCTTCCGTCTATTCCAGAGCTGAAAGCAAGGTTTGCTCGCTTTGGCCCAATGGATCAATCAGGTTTCCGTCAATTTTGGAACTCGTCAACTTGTCGAGTTGTTTTCTTGCACAAGGCTGATGCACAAGCTGCATATAAATACTCTGTAGGAAATCAATCTTTATTTGGTAGTGTGGGTGTGAGGTGTTTCATTAGGGAATTTGGGGATCCTGCTCCGGAAGTTTCCGAAGCTGCAAAGGGTAAGGTAGATGATGGTGTAAGTGACATAGCTCGGATGAAGGATCCCCCAGTGGTTCATCGCCTGGCATCAGCATCAGTATCATCTATGCAACCACTTCCCCAGCCCATCCAGCTGAAGTCGTGCCTGAAGAAATCGACCGGTGATGAGTCCGGTCTGGTCTCGGGTAATGGAAGTAGTAGTAAAGGAAATTCTCGTGTAAAATTCATGTTGGGTGGGGAAGAAAGTAGTAAGGGAGACCAAATAATGGTGGGTAATAGAAACAAGTTCAACAATGCTAGCTTTGCCGATGCTGGCACACCATCTGTTGCAACGGATTTTAATAGTAAGAATGTTGAAAAGATGACATTACAACCCCCGTTGCCTATTCTTCCTCTTCCTACACAGTTTTCGAAACCCCCTCAACATAATTTGCGTAATTCTGAATTGGCAATGGCACCCCGAAGCAGTCCGAATTTTATTAACGCCACAGCATCAGCTACTGCAAGCACGGTTGATATATCACAGCAAATGATACACCTTTTGACAAGGTGCAGTGATGTTGTCACTAATTTGACTGGTTTATTGGGCTATGTGCCTTACCATTCACTCTGACCAAATTTACTCTTCAATGTTCCCTTTTCCATATCATTCATACATACACAAGAAAAATTATCGAGCGGAATATTGTGGATTGGATTGGTCAGTTTCTCTGAGATTTTGAGCTCCATTAATGTATTTTCAGTAGCATCTTATTAGCTATTTCTGGGGTGGAATTGGGGGTTACTCGGTTCATATATATTTCCTGACTTTTTTTTTGTACCTTAGGCATCCTTTACGCTATTATTGGCCCCAATGTTACGTTCACTGTGGGTTCCGTCCGCAGTTAAGAATCTATGTGTGACGTTACAATAGTTTCCTCAACTATTCAATATAAACACATTTCTTTGCTAAGATTCATGTCCTTTTTTTCTCTTTGCCTACCTTCTAGTTCATAAATAAAACTAAATTAACTTTTTTCTCTTTAACATGAGTAAATTTTACCCATTTTTACTTCATTTAATGATATCTGAAATTGGTCCTTTGTAATCTATATCTGTTATTCTTTCTTGTCTGATTTTTGAGAAATATTTTAGTCTTAGATGATAAGGTTTCCTTCTCTTTTTTTCCAAACCAACAATTTGAACAACTATTGATTGTAATGACGAAAAACAGAATATTCCAACGTTTCAATGCATAGATGTGGATTTCATATTTATGAATAGCATTATTCCAATAATTTATTCTTTTAATATTTAATACCCCAATTCAAGGGTAGTAATTCTCCAAATAGCTCATTTTCACTGTACCCAAAGGAATTCGGGCCCCACCAGCTGAATTTACACAACTGAAAACTCCACCAAAATTTGTTCTCTAGAGTTCAATTCCAAAACTTATTTCTTTTTTAAATGAGGAAGGGAAATTGGGAAAGTACTGTATGTATAATAGACAGATAACTTAAAGGGTTAATTAAAAGTGTTGCAAATAATTTTGATTGGATTGGGAGACAGGTAAAAGTATAAAATAATTTAAATGTGAAAAAATATAATTTTTTAATAATAGTTTCGTAATATTATTTTATTTTTTTTAAAGTTTAACTAGTCAATACAATTTATTTCTTTGTGTATGAAATGGTATGGAAAAATATTGCTAACTATCATAGTTTACAGGGAGGGAAATGGAAGAAAATGATTAGACTAAAATTGAAAAATAGAGGAAATGAAAAGAAAAGCAACAGAATATATTATTTTGTGCAATTGATTTTAAAAGAGAATAATCTAAAATGGATTTTCCTTTCTTAATATTAAGAATTTTTTTTACTTTTTTTTGCTTTTGCCCTTTCCACCAAACAGTTTAAATGAAGACGCTTTATCTTCCCCGTTGAAATAACTAGAAACTCTAGAGCTAGTCATTGAATCTTCGTGTATTTGTGACACTTTTCAAAACCAATATTACTGTAATAAATTCTGTTTAAACTGTTGCTGATAAGAAAAATCAAAGATTCAATCCAAGAAATAGTCACAAATGCAATGAAGAACAATTTGTGTTTGTTATAATTAGGGTTAGCACCCACTCAGTGGTCTGCGAGTGAAACCTCTAACCCTCGCCCGAGTTCGTTCCTAGGGTTTCATTTCTTCAATTTCTCATCTCTTTCAACAGCGACGCCACTAATGACTGAATTGCACTCTCAAGACAATGCGCCGGCTGTTGCGGATTCTCCTAGGGTTTCGCCAGACCAGAAACTCGGCTACTCTTCAACGGAAGAGTTTAGGGTTAGGGTTTCCTCTGACGGTGACGCATCGTCTACCATCGATAGATTGACGGAGGAAAATGAAGGCGATAAATTTCCCGGTTCCGATAGCGGATCTCTGTTATCGGAATTCGACGAGTACGTGGCAGCTGAGAGGCACGTGTCGCGGGATCTAGGGCTTGGGTTCGAGGTTGGTGACATGGTGTGGGGGAAGGTGAAGTCTCACCCGTGGTGGCCCGGGCACGTTTACAACGAGGCGTTTGCGTCCCCGTCAGTGCGTCGCTTGAAGCGGGAGGGGCATGTGTTGGTGGCGTTCTTCGGTGATAGCAGCTACGGCTGGTTCGAACCGGAGGAGCTTATTCCGTTCGACGCCAATTTCGCGGAGAAATCGCAGCAGACGAGTTCGAGGACGTTTCTGAGGGCTGTGGAGGAGGCGGTTGATGAGGCCTGCAGGAGGCGTGGGCTTGGTTTGTCTTGTAGGTGTAGGAATGCTAATAATTTTAGACCCATAAATGCTGAAGGGTATTTTTGTGTTGATGTGGAAGATTATGAGCCTGGAGGGTTGTATTCTGAGGGCCAGATTAGGAAGGCGAGGGATAGGTTTAAACCGAGTGAGACCCTCGCATTTGTGAAACAATTGGCGATATCTCCACATGATGGTGGCCGCGGAAGCATTGGATTCATTAACAATAAGGCTACCCTTTCGGCTTACCGGAAGGCGGTGTTTGAGCAGTTTGATGAGACTTATGCCCAGGCTTTTGGTGTACATCCCGTGCGCACCACTCATTCTCCGAATAATAAAACCTATCAGCCTGGGATTGTTAGGCACACTCCTAGAGGTATATATGCACATATATAGTTATTCCTTTCACTTTTATTGGTTAATGGCGATATGTTTTTCAGTAACTTTGTCTATGTGTTGTTTGTGTCTGCTGACTATGAATTTGATGACCAAATCTTTCTAGGTTTTTGGGTTTTGGAATAAAGTAGTTGTGTTGTTAGGAATATACACGTCTTCGTACGTAACAATACCTACTTTTAGATGTTTAAGCACTTGACTCAGAAGGGAAGATATGAGTCTCTGATATTCTTTATTGCATAAAATGTGTTTTGGTTTTGGTTAAGTCTTTTACTGTTTTTGCTCTGGAGCTCGTTTGTTAACACTCTAATAGAGGTTTGAATCGTTTTGATGTTTGTGCTTGGTAGCTGAAACATTTATTCTGTGTTTGAGTCTCTGACAAAAGTTTACATAGCTTACTGTCTAAAAACATGATTGATTAATGTTTTTGATGGATATATCATCGTTAGACACAACTAGTTTAGGTTATGATGAATATCGAGGTGAATGAGTGGGAATGCATGACGAAGACAAGGTTGATAAGAATGTATTTTGGAGAAGTTGGAGTAGCTCCTATTAAGAGGATTACGACAGAAACCTGCTTAAGAGTAAGGTGGATTTGGTGACCGAGTATACTACTAGGGGCTGTAGTGGAATGGAAGAAAAGTATCCAGTGGAAGATTATTAGATTAAAAACTGTATCAAGACCATAATGAATTTATGGAGAAACCTAGACCTTAATCTACAGTAGCATTTGGTTTGGAAAATCTATTGTTTTATTCTTGGGAATTGTCTTTCCTGCAAATCATGATTTTTCAGAATGTTGTAAATGCCTTTGGTATGCGTATAAGTTCCCTATGAATTCAGATAAGTTTTTGATGAATCTTAAACTTCCCCACCTAAGTGGTAATCTTGGATTTGCACCCCCTCCAATTGCATGTTTTGTTGGGAAACATTAAAAAGAATTCCTAGATATGTTTCGTTATTATTTTAACTTAAACAAACATGAGATTATAAAATTGTTAATCTAAGTTTATTGGGTAATATAGAAGAACCCTCTAACGAACAGAAAAAATGGTTTTATTGAAATTTTCATTATAGGGCCCAGTGGCATAACTTGATCCTTGTAATCGACCCACACTTAGTTGGGTTAGCCTTAGTTCTTATTATTGCAATTATTCTTAATTACTTTAATACAAACTTTTTGTGTTCACAGAGCCTTGTGAATGTGAATCATGAAAGGTGAAGCTTGCTATAATGTCTTGAGTATAACTGGATTGTCTGATTTTATTATTATCCTTTTAATTTGACCATCAGTTTAATTTCACAGTGTGATCTATTGTATTTTATCCCCTCACTTGCATAAGGACGCTATTTTATGTGGATTGAAGATGTTTGTTGTTGTGTCTCGAGCAATTCAAAGTCACTTGAAGCATTAATGCTACTTTTTTTCTCTGTTTTCAATTCTTTTTCAGCTCCTTTGAGTGGTCCACTGGTGATTGCAGAGGCTTTGGGTGGTGGGAATAGCAAATCTGTTGAAGTTAAGGAGGCTTTGAAGAAAGATAGATACCTTCTTAAGCGAAGAGATGATCCAAATAATTCTGTCCAATCAGCCTACACGGAGGACAAATCTAATGCAGCAAATAGTTATCTATTCCAGAAGAGGGGTCCAGCTGTTCCTTTGACACTTCATAATTTAGAAAAAAAAGAAGACACTGGATTTGTCAGTCATAATGTTTCAGCTTCAACTTCAGATGCCAAAGAAGATTTAATGGGTCAGGTTCAAGCAGACGAATGTGGTCTTACATCCCTTTCCATTTCCTCAGACGCAAAGGCTATTCTTGACAAGGGAAAGGATTCATCTGACAAAGTAACGCAGAGTTTTGAACTGGATAATGCTTCAAGTAAAAGCATGGTTAGGTCTGATTTGTCTGGGGAGGCGGTAGTACCAAGCACAGCTGATGACATGTGTCAACCATCAGGTCTGGAGAACAAAGTTGTTGATGCTATACATGATGGGAATGCAAAATTGTCAAGACAATGCGAAGATTTTAACCAAACAGAGCAGGGACCCGTGATGAATGCTGGTGGATTAAATAACATGCATCAAGTTAAAAGTGAAAATAATGTATATGGTTCACCAGTCGAAGCAAAGCATCACAAAATTAGTGTGGTGAAGAAGATTAAAGGTCTTAAGAGACCTGCAGATGAGTTGAATTCTGAAGCTTCTGCTGTTGGGCAGGAAAAGAAGAAAAAGAAAAAGAAAACCGACTTAAACTTTCATCCTACCTTAGGCTTTCCAGAGAGAAATTCTACATTTGGGAAATCAGTTTCTGTAAAATCAACTGGAAAAGCTGTTTCAGTTGGTTTGGCTTCTAAAGAGGATTTTCCTGCAGAACAATTGAAGGTGGATGTTAATGCCGATAATTCGATGCCCATGGATACCATAGGAAATTCTAGTTTGGCTTTGCCCCAACTTTTGGGTGATTTGCAGGCCCTGGCTTTGAACCCTTTTCATGGCATTGAAAGAAAGATACCTGGAGCTGTTCAGCTGTTCTTTCTGCGATTCAGGTCTCTTGTTTACAGAAAAAGCTTGTTTGTATCTCCACCAACTGAGATTGAAACTCCTGAAATCCGACTCACTAAATCTCCTACAAGTCTCAGGACATCTGACAGTCCTGACGAGTATGTCAAAGCTTCACCGATTGTAAAACCAGTGAAACATGTCATTCGGCCTGCTGAGCCCACAAAAGCAGGGCGGAAAAGGGCACCCTCTGATCGGCAAGAGGAAATTGCTGCCAAGAGGTTGAAGAAAATTAAAGATATAAAGGCTCTAGCTTCAGAAAAAGCAGTGACCAGTCAGAAAACTTCTGATGCCCGGCGAGAAGATGGGATAGAATCCCAGGCTCCATCCAAAGTAGTGAAACTAGACTCGATCAAGAAAGGGAACTCTCCAGCTAAGGCAGTTGAGCCCACAATGTTGATGATCAAATTTCCTCCTGAAACAACACTTCCGTCTATTCCAGAGCTGAAAGCAAGGTTTGCTCGCTTTGGCCCAATGGATCCTTCAGGTTTCCGTCAATTTTGGAACTCATCAACTTGTCGAGTTGTTTTCTTGCACAAGGCTGATGCACAGGCTGCCTATAAATACTCTTTTGGAAATCAATCCTTATTTGGCAGTGCGGGTGTGAGGTGTTTTCTTAGGGAATTTGGGGATCCTGCTCCGGAAGTGTCCGAAGCTGCAAAGGGTAAGGTAGATGATGGTGTAAGTGACATAGCTCGGGTGAAGGATCTCCCAGTGGTTCATCGCTTGGCAACAGCATCATCTATACAACCACTTTCTCAGCCCATCCAGCTGAAGTCGTGCCTGAAGAAATCTACAGGTGATGAGTCGGGTCTGGTCACGGGTAATGGAAGTAGTAGTAAAGGAAACTCTCGTGTAAAATTCATGTTAGGTGGGGAAGAAAGTAGTAATGGAGACCAAATAATGGTGGGTAATAGAAACAAGTTCAACAATGCTAGCTTTGCTGATCCTGGCTCACCATCTGTTGCAACGGATTTTAATAGTAAGAATGTTCAAAAGATGACATTACAACCCCCGTTGCCTATTCTTCCTCTTCCTACACAGTTTTCGAAACCCCTTCAACATAATTTGCGTAATTCTGAATTGGCAATGGCACACCGAAACAGTCTGAATTTTATTAACGCCACAGCATCAGCTACTGCAAGCACGGTTGATATATCACAGCAAATGATACACCTTTTGACTAGGTGCAGCGATGTTGTCACTAACTTGACGGGTTTATTGGGCTATGTGCCTTACCATCCGCTCTGACCAAATTTACTCTTCAATCATTCACACATACACAAGAAAATTATGGAATGGGGTCATGTTTTGGCGAGTGAGCTGATTGGGCTTATTTGTAGATTTTGGGCTCCAAAAATTTGTAAATGCACATATTGTCTGTATTACAAGTTCTTAACTTTTCCGATATCATTCTGAGGGTTGTTGGGATTGGGGTGTACCCAGTTGATTGGTGGATGTTCGCACGTACTAGTGTATATTGTATGATGTGAATTTTTTTTTTAAATTAGAATATTATATTGTGCGTGGGTTAGTTAACCCAACTTTCTTTTCTTTTTTTCTTTCGTGGCATATACTTTTGCATATGTTAAGCTTTGAAGATTATCTATTGTCACCTAATTTTGTTGTCGTTGAAAAAATTAATGATTCATTCAAATAATTTATTTTTTGTTATGAGATTGACTTTAATGTAATATTTTCCACCCGTCAGAAGATATACGGTTTAATTGATTTTCTCGTGAATTTTACAGAGTGATAAATACTAATTTCATAAATTTAGATACAGTAAACTTATAATTAAAATGTTGTCCTGAAATTTTTTTAAGATGTACTAAATGCTAGCATAATCATGGTTTTAAAAAGTGTAAAAATATGCATTTCAAATGAGTAAATTATAGTAAATTGATAGCTTAAGCGCTAATTGGCAAACCGTTGTTTCTAATTTTTCTTCAAAACTTTGAACATCACTTCATTGCCAAATAATAATAAAACCAGAAGTGTAAATTGCAATGTGACATCAGTGCCAAGCAGCATAGGAACAAACATTTAATTAGAGATTATCAAATTATTGACAAAATAAGGACACACTACCAAAATATTTATTGAGATTATCAAATTATTGACAAGATAGAAATTTAAAAACTTAAAAAAAAATAAAGACGAAATAAAAAAAACTTTGAAATTGCAAATGGACATCCTTTAAGTAAAGGATAATTCAATTAAACATAAAATAAAGTACCAATAAAAAAAGAATTGAGACAAGGAACTTTCAATGAAACACCACAAAAATGGCCTCAAATTCAACATCACAAAATTAAAAAAAAAAAAGGAAAAAAGAAAAAACAGGGGTACGGTTGGGTGAGAAATGGTTACACCACCAAAATAGTAGAAACACTACGTAATTACAATCTTCATTCTTCTAGATATCGAGATTGGCTTCTTCAGGAATCACACTTAAAGTCACCAATTTATCACCCTTTCTTTTTACTACAACCTTTATGGGTACCCCAACTTTGTCGCCTAATATTTCAATAACATGTGATAATCAAGAATAAATTCAAGAGTCATAAAATTCAAGTGCAATCCATTTATAGATTTTTTAATACTCAAGAATTCCCACACCAGAAGCACTAGTTACTCGTCCGCAATATCTTACACAATACACACGCTGTGACATTATATTCATCTCATTTTAAGTTCATACCAACTTATTCATTTAAACTAAACAAATAAGTTTAAACTCAACCAACACTTTCATTACAGGACTCCCAACATACAAGAAACCAGTTTTGGTCAATAACAATATTAAAACAAAAATTTAAATAATTACATTATATATATATATATATATATATATATATATATATACACACACACATACATACATACATACATATATCATTACCTCCTTTACTCTTTCCACAGGCTTCCCATCAAATTCAATGACAACATCACCAGGACAGAACCCAGCACGCTCTCCAGGAGATCTAGGAGTTACCTAGTAAAAAGCATTGAAAGGTCCTTCAGACAAATAGGTGATTTCAAGTATTTTAATGCTTGAGTAGCATTAATGAGTGCAAAACATGTTATCCCACAAAAAGAATCAATTCATAAGGATAACTACAGATATTTCATATTATTGTCTCATCACAAGTAGATCTTGTAGTCTCTCCATCATTTACTTCTACATTAACATTGTAAGAACCTGAAGGTCCTGTCATTTTAGTGTCTTTATTTTCTAGTTTCACAATGTACTATTTAATTTCTTTCACTAATACACAAATTCCACCTGATCTTTCTCTCAACATCCATCCCTTAATTTGAAACCACAAACTAAATACAGGGAGTCATTGCTAAAAAAGCAGCCTGGTACAAGTAATAAACTTGTGGCCACGTGAACTACGACAAAACATTATTAGTTCTTGTTAAAGCTGAACTCTCCCAAAAGAAAAAATGCCAACGAACTTTATGTTTACATGTTGGACCATCAGCCCCAATGCCTACCATGTCCTCACGCCCATCCATCAAATCCTTGTGGATGAATCCAACCGTGTATGAAAAAAGTCTTTGTTTCAAGATAACATATTGCATTCCACTAACCTAACAGCATCCGGCCCATTGAAAGATTAAAAAAGACACAAGAACCCGAAGGACCACAGAAGTAGATATCCAAAAAGGATCAGTTAGCCACATACCATTGGCACAAGAATTCCCTTACTGACGTTAGGGAATGAAGCATCTTGCTTTTTAAGCTGAGCAATAATCATCTCATTGAGATCAAGCATCTTTAGCCCAAGCCAAGGCCGTATTACTCTCCTGAACAAACGTTAAATAAAACTTATTGATTTAATCTATAATATGCAAAAGCTCAACTCAACTACAAACTTATGATTGACAAAATAATATATTTAAATCCATATTTGTTTATGGAATATAAATTTTTAAAATGTGAAAAAATAAAAGATTTTTTCCAAGTAAATCAACTTCTTCTCAGAAGAGTAAAACATCATTTTTGAATGACACTCGTAATAATATAAATGAAAACCTAAAACATACCCACTTCTCTTGAAGTGCTCTATAATTTTAGACGCAGAATCAATTGGTACAGAAAAACCCAGCCCATCAGCTGCAGTCAATTTCATCATGTTCACCCCAATAATTTCTCCATCCATGTTGACAAGAGGACCTCCAGAACTTCCCTATACCGCAGAAGCAGATGAAAACATACAATCAGAATGATCAGATATTCATGTTACTATTCAATGATTACACCACATGCAAAAATAGTTGGGTAGGTGGATAAATCAAGGAGAGAAAAAGAGGAAGACTTACCATATTAATCGCACAATCGGTTTGTAAATACTCTCTCGGCATGCCACTGAATCCCAAATCACTACTTTTGCGGTCAACACAACTAAACAAAATATCATAAAAAATTAATTTCTTTAGTTCAAAAGACAATCCGGAGTCTCTTACAGCTACCATAATCTATCGATCATGTGAAATGGCATAACCTAAAACAAATTTTCAATGGCTTAATACAGAGAGACAACTGTTATCGCCTGAATCTGAATTTGTTCTTCGTACCTTACAATTCCAGCGGTGACAGTATTCTGAAGAGAATGTGGACAGCCCAAGGCTATTACCCAATCTCCAGGACGTAGCCTACTTGACGAACCAAGTTTAGCTTCCGGCAGTGGTGTTTCAGAGTTGATCTTCACAATAGCAATATCTGAATGCAGGTCAGCATTCACCACTTTCCCCTCAAATTTTCTTCCATCTTGCAATGTGACTTCAATCTATAGTATAATTGATATATTAAGATCCCCATTAATGAAACTTGTAAGACTCAGACACGAATGTCTAGACTCCAAAGTCGTGATTATTTAGATATGTCTCCCTGGAGACGAAAACTTACGAGAATAGAAAGGTAATATATCACAAAAAGTCTGCATATTAATAGTCTAAAATAATATGATGGTAAAAGTATTTTAATAAGCCAAGTAACTGAATCCTAAAAATGCCTATATTTCCTCTTAATACAATTGAGATGTGTTTGAAAAATATCCAACTTCGACAGGTATCACATTTCATTTTGCATCATGGAAAGCAATATCAAATCTACCAACATTTTACAGGTTTGAGAAGTATGCCCTGGCACGTGGACAAACCTTCCCTTTGGCAGAACCTCTTGTACCCATAAAATCAACCACAACATGAGCAGATGTCAAGATTGTTCCATCCTTGTTGATGATTGTTCCCGATCCTATACTCTTTCCGCTAACAATACCATAGAAATCTGCGTGGTGAAATTCAAAAGCCAACTCAGAGGACATAACTCAAAAGTTCAAGTTTGAAAGATATCAAGACAGATACCTTGGTGAGTTGAGATATTAACAACAGCAGGCGCAACTTTTGCAGCTGCATTTGCAATAGTATCTCTACCAAAATAATCACTGGGCTTGGACTTATCATCAACAGTCCCAGATCCATCAGACGAAGGAATGGGACAGACTCTATAAGAATAAAGAGCATCAATTCCTACATGTTTTCAGTTATATATATAGTTCAGACATCTCATAAAAATTTGTGCATATACCAAGTTCAAAAGCAAAATAAGAACGAACCAGAGGAACCAGATTTATGGGAAAAAAGTAAACATTGAGAATCAAACAGCGTTGGAAATGTCAACCATAGGGAATCTGGTAATGGCCCAGGAACTCGAACTGCAACGGAAGCTCCTGAATTTGATGTTGAAGCCACATTAGCAGAACATCAATGTTACTTCCATCTAAATAATAAAACGACATTTTCTTTCAATTCACTTAGCAACCCACTACTCCACTAATGATTAAACAGAAATGTTGTTCACAATCATAATTATTACCGCCGAGATTATGTAGATTATGTTGGCAGAACATAAGGTCCTGATAGATACCTTGTAATAATTTAATACTTTAAAGATTAAGTAGAGTAATTCAATTTAGCTACTTCTATCTGTTAAATAGATTCTGCGCTGTTATCCCACATGAAGGTAACAACCTCGAAAAAAGTTATGAAATATAGGAACTAGAAAACCGTAAATAAAGTGAAATTAAGGACCCTATTAGAACTAAATTATTGTTTGTTTCATAGAACTACATAGAGAGTACTTAAAAAAACGTTCTCCTCCTCACCGTGCTCCTCAATGTAGAACGATCGTATATGGGTAATAAAAGGTTAGGTCGTATATGGATAATAAAAGGTTAGGCACTCACTAAAACGATCATCAGCACTGCAGCACAGGACAGCAGAACCAAAACCTGCAATCGCCGCAGTTCTGATGAGCCCAAACCTTCTCTGCCCCCATACAATTCATCTTCCGTTCAGAAATTTTAACTTCAATAGTCACGATTCAAACAGATAAATACCAAACACAAAATAACACTCATACCAGAATGCCACTCATGACAGTCCGCACCGTCGTTATCACCACACCCTTCGCAAGGCAAATTCACAAAGTAAAAACAAACTTACGACAAAATTAAAAAAGACAAAGTCAAACCTTCGGTAACAATAAAATACAGGCCCCCAGCTCAAGGGAAGGCCCAAACGTTCATGGCCCAAACTGCTATGGCCCAACAAGAGCCACGTCGCATAAACCATCCACGCTCAAATTTTCTGTTTCGTAACTTCCAATTCTAACTACACCGTTCAAACGTTACAAATTATGCTTCAATTCCATTAATAAGGTAACCATTAATGATTAAGGTAACAAAAAGCTTCTTTCATGAATGATTTAATTCAATACAGGACTACATTTAAACCATTATGATATCCAAAACATGAAAGTGACACCAAAAGTAAAAGACCATATGTTAGGCAAATGGCCATCAAATTTCTCCTGAACTAAATAAAATTAAAAGATCTAGCAATAAGATTTACAAAATGAATCAATCATCTATGTCTTCGTAGGCGATGTAGGAGTAGGGAGCTTTTCATCAGGAGTAGACGTATTTTTCTTCGCCAACAGAACTGGATTAATATTAGGCAACACTCCACCGCTCGGTATTGTCACACCTTGAAGAAGTTTTCCCAATTCATCATCATTTCTCACAGCCAGAAGTACGTGACGAGGGATGATCCTATTTTTCTTGTTATCACGTGCGGCATTCCAAGCCAATTCTAACACCTACATTGTAAAATTTTCATTAACAACTAATTGATTTCAATTTTTATGAGGTAAACATAAATCGTTGAGTATTTACCTCAGCGGCGAGATACTCGAGGACAGCGGCAAGGTAGATCGGAGCGCCGGCGCCTAATCGACGGGAGTAACGACCTTTCTTTAAATATCTAGTGACACGGCCCACCGGAAATTGGAGACCGGCTTTTATAGATTTGGAAACGGCTTTCTTTCTCTCGCCTCTTCTTCCGGCGACGCCTTTGGAAGTGGCCTCCTCCATTGTTGCCTGGTCTGAATTACCAACCAAACTGCTCATTTGGAGGGAAAACGAGAAAAAAAAAAGCTTTTTCCTTTTGGAATTCTGATAACTGAGCCAAACAAGAGGGACGTTGTATGTAAACTGCAATCAAACTATAAATGTTCCGATCTTGCCCTGAAGATTTTAAGGCTACTTTGATTCTATCAAAGCCTTCATTCATGTCACGGTTAAGCGATTAGATTGGAAAAGAGATTAAAAATGGTTCCATAATAGTTTTATTTAATTTATATATTTAATGCATTTTTCACTGGTAATTTATATCTTAAAAAAAGGTTTATATATTTAATGGGATGTCATCAAACAAAAGAAATAGTAAATCTTAAAAAACTAAAATTATGAAAAAAGAAAACATAAAAAATAAAAATGAAATTCGAAATGGATGAAAACATTCATAAAGCATGAACATAAGTTATAATTGAAAAGAAAGTCTAAAAGATTCGTATTTGAATGTGAATGATTTTTAAAGAAATATACATAGATTCAATCCCAAACATAAGGTTTACATTAGCCATGATACCAAAGCATATAAACACACAAGAAAGAGAAAGCTTTCTACTAAATCCAAATAGTGCGAGGGGATTTGATAGACCTTTTAAGCTCATTGCACACATTATTTACCATACCCAGAAAGTCTCTTACTATTACAAATATCTGAAGTGGATTCGACTCTTCGTCACTCACATCCCCATGAAAATACTCTGTTACTTCTTTTACCCGACCCATCACTCTAGCTTCATCTCCATGCAACTCTTGCACCTTTCTTTCTGCATAATTCAGGAACAACTTCATAGAAATCACAAAGCTCTTGTTTTTTTCATCTTCACTCAACAACCCTTTTACTAGCTTCTGTATGTTAGCCAACCCACTTGATAAGTTCGAGACAGAACTTGCAAGCACGTTTAAGTCAACTGTCGCAGTCTTTTTCACATTGCATAACTCAGCACTAAGACCAGACACAAGTTTTAGTCCCATTCTTCTATAATCTTCTTCCTCCTCTTCCTCCGTTCTCTTTTCACTCTTCTGTCCCATGATGTTCTTTGAAGCTTTGGTCCCTTCTGAGCGAACTATCTCCTGAACAAAGAAATGGAGCAGGGTGGTTTTACCATCTGTTCCTTTAACATCAGCAAGCTTGAGAAGGGCATCCAGTTTGAAAGCTCTAGCACCTCCCCTTGTTGTCCCCACGTTCATGCGGTTTCCTGTTTTCAGCACTGCTTCCAGCAATTTCAAGAAGAACTTGCTTGACCTTAGTTCCTTGCATGCTTCCTGGTGTCACAAAAAACACAATGAATATTATACATGGTCAAAAAACACAATTTTTGAAGTAAGACAAACATGGCTTCATAGTTTCATGATTCTTTGTAATATTCAAGAAGATTGCAATAAAGGGTCTTGATTATTTTGCTGCTACCTCTAGCATTTTGAAAGAGTTGCTGATGTGAGTAACTTCATCTTCGAAAGTTTCTCTGTAAAGCATGGCTTCCACTCGTTGAAAAGCAAATGGTATGCTAAGCATTACTCTCACGAAATTTTCAGCGAACCCAAGTTCATTGATAGATCCTTTGTAGTTCAATAGCTTGTCCTCTTCTTCTTTGGTTGGTACCATTTTTACCAGTGCCTCCAGTTGTTGCAGAGACAAACCCTTCCCTGCATTTATTTCACTACTTTGTAAGACTTTTCACTCAGCATCATTAATTTTATCCGTAGCATATGGTGTAGATGTAAAGGTGCATGCATGCTGTTTGTTAAAACTTTGGGGGTCAAAGCCTAAATTATTATACATGTTTATAAAATAGGATCCTTTACCTAGTATTAGAGCTTCACACACTTCTTCTGCCGTGATATTTAGAGCTTTAGAGAGTATTGCTATATTTTGCAGCCGTTTTGGCTCGAGTACATGCTCCTTAGGGGAGAGGGTTTTACTTATTGTTTCGTAGTTCTTTGTTGAATTCTGTAAATTGTAGCCAAAGAGTGACTCGATCATTTCCTCATCCAACCTGATTAAATTTCATCATTTTCTCAAACGGTGAAACTAAAAACAGATACAAGACATAGTACTTGCTAATTTTGAGAAAGAGCTTACTCAAACGAATTTGTTCGAAGCGTATCCCACACCATTGTTCGATCTGGCGTGGCTCTTACTTTGTCCCAGTGAAGTGGTTTGAGTTTTGGCAGTTGTTGAGAAGGTGGGGTTTTGATCACACTGTTCATGTTTCCTTTCAAAAACGGAGGTGGACTTGGCGGGGGAGGAATGCTAGGTTGAGAAGTTCCACTCCTCTTTTGCTCTTCGTCTTTTGGTATGGATGGTGATTGGTTAGATTCTACCTTTGAAGTTGAACCGTGAGAAGAACAAGGAAATTGAGTTGTCGCAGAAATTAAATTTCCAGGAGAAAGAAACAGTGATTCTGTTTCAACACATGAATGAAAACTTTCGAAATCTGATGATGAATGACATTCTTCAGGGACAGTTCTTTCTGCAGAGGAAGCTTTGCCACCATCATATTCCAAATCATAGTGAACAGATAGAGTTTCCTTGGTGGAAGAACTGCCAGTGCTGGCATTGTCATGTTCTTCTTGATTCAACACTTTCTCCTCATTAATTGCACGTTTTAGGGAACTACGGCTTGAAGTGCTGCTTTGTGTCCCACAAGTTTGTTTCAAGGAAAGCAAATCAGGATCAAAGTTTAAACTCGCATTGCTTGATGAATTATGGCACGTACCTCCTGTTCTTCCGTGTTTGCTAAAGAGTGGCATTGTCCTATTGGGTTTCCATTTCTGATTTCCAAATCTCTTGCAAACACAGACACACCCAAGTGCACAGATTAAGGTAGCAACTCCACCAGATACTACAACAGCCACTAGTGTTGTTCTATTTGAGCTACCTCTATCTTGTTGTTGAATCTTGTGAAGCGGCATGCTTCTAAGTGATTGATAGGAACCAGGATGCACGTGCAGCTCCGAATTCGGAGCCTCGGCTTGGGTTTTGGATGACAGAGAAGCCGAGAGGGAGACAAAGTCAGAGTAAAAAACGCTATAGCAAGACCTTCTTGTATGAAACCTGTTGGGTGACTTGAGTCCAAGCAAAGTTCTGAAGTTTTCAAGTCTAGGAGTTTCCTTGTTTTCATTCCCATCATCCCCTGAGGTTTTCTTGATTTGATTTTCATTTCCTACAGCATTCCACGCGGCAGCCACAGCCAAAATGTTGGCTCTTTGCAATGATAAGAACAACAACGTAATGATGAACATGAACCTCATGTTGAGTCTCAAAAAACCAAGACTCGGTATTTTCTAAGTTCTCAAGACATCAATGAAACTTTTCTCTCTTTAAAATCTGTTTTTCTTTTTGTTCCATTTACTTTCTCAAGGAGGGAAAACAAGACTTGTTATTTGGGTGAAGAAGATCCAGAAGTGTGTCTTTGATGCCACTCCAAGGAATCGTTGAGCCTGGTAGTTGTTGCTGTATTTTTCCCTCTTAGGGAACTAAAAACCTCATCTCAGTTCTCACCATAATCAATTCTATCAACCTATATGCATAACATAATTGTACTGCTAAGGCATAAGAGTGGAAAAATCTTCTCTACTAGGCCACTACCTTGACTTAATGCTTTTGTTTTGTTTCTTAAAGCTATTTTGTCATGAAGTAAATGGGAGCTACTGACTAATGCTCTTGTTTGTCGTGATCAAACACCTCTCCTTTTCTTATTGATAAATTCAGGATCAAAAAGTACAGAATCTGATAATTTGAGTCACGATCGTTGCAGTTGGATAAAGATTTTCAGTAGTTAAAGAGTCACATAATGCAAACGACGTAGAAGTTGACAGTGGGTCCAGTTTGTTGAACTTGGAAAACTCTATACGGGTGATTCAACAAGATTTCTCCATCCAAACCCATCAAAGAGAAGAGATGGCCCACTTGGGGGGACCAATAGTCCTAACTTTCTGATGTGAATTTTACTATGTTAAACTACTTTGCATTTTGCAGGTTTTGGAACCCTGCAAAATGGGTTGGTGAAGTTACATATTTCTGTGGTTAGACTTTCTACAAAGGCAAGGTCGAAGATGTCTCTGGCTATAAGGTCTTGTATGATTGGTTCAGGTTGAGGTATAACAGGGCACCCCAGCATTTTGGATGCAATGCTGTAGTCTTCTGCAACGTTGGCATTCTTCCATAACTCTCTCATCAGCTCTGGATATATCTTCTGAGTTTCTGCAAAGTGTTGATCCAAATATTCATGTCTGAAGTTCAAAAGTGTTGAATTCTCCTACATTTGACGTTCAATTTGAAAAAAAAAATATGTGAAGAGATTAATCAGTATATGAAATAAGAAGTTAGAATTGATACACAACTTTATAATGTTTGGTTATTATTGTCATCATTGTTATATTATTTTTATGTATGATAGAAGTTAAGATTATCATCATTGTTTTTAGTTTATCTCAAATGAAGAATAACCACACTTTTTAAATCCAATTAAATTATTCATTATAAAAGATAATAAATAATAATATAAATCATAATAATTAATAATAGATAATAATATAAACAATAACAAAATCATAATAAATAACAATAAACATATTTATTAATATATTTTACGAATAATTATTTTCTTTGTAAAGATATAGAAAAAATTACATTTTAGAAGTGGTACTAGCTTGATACAGTGATATTCGATTATTTTAATATTGAAAGATTTTAATATAAATAGTTTCGTAACGAACATAATTTTAAAATATATTGCCTCTATAGAAATTACTTTTCTATAGTTTTTTTACTTATCTTTAGAATTTCCCGTCTTCTATTTGCATAATTGAAAAATCAATACTGTAGAAGTGATCCTTGTGACGAGCTCTTCAATTTGGATCGATCAGTTTCTCAGATAAAGTAAGTTGGTTTTTGCTCATTTCTTTGACAATTTCGTTTTCCTTTTTGCATGTAAGCTTTTCATAGTTGTATGTGATGTATGACTCTTCCATAAAACTCTTTGTTGATCACTGATCATAATGGTATGCTTTGATCATGTTTTCGTTGTTCATAGGAGCATATAGGGGTTCCAGTGTATTTGGTATTGTTTTAAGCCTTTTAAAATGGTTTGATCATCCATAAGGTAAGATAAGCTAACTATCGTTTTTTAATGTTGTTGATGCTTTAATAAATGTTATGCATGTTGAAATTGATCTGA